AGCTATAACTACTAAAATTTCAGATAAGTAGTTTTTCCCCTGCTTTCGGATAAAGCCAGTCCCCTTCATCTAAATTAAAACAGTACGGCCGTAAGGACACTGAAACGATCTTTACACAGCTTCCATCGATTCCTGTAATGCCTAGGTTTCATCTGTTTCCTGTGTTTCGCCTGTTTATTCAAGTAAATTTATTCCCCTGTTCAACATTACAGCGGTTTCGTCCGTCCCGGCTTGCAAACTGGAGTCAGGCGGCGACATTTTCAGAAGTCTCCGCAGAAATACCAGACGAGTTTCCAGTATGCACGAAGGCTTCACCCGAAGCGACTGGCTGAGCCACTAGATCACTAAGTGACGTGCAATGTTACAAGGAACAAAAAGACGTTTTGGGTTTTGTGCCGTGGCATTTAAAAGGCGAAATAACTCTAGCTCTAAAAACATCATAAATAATTTTATACATCCTCAATTACTGAGTATCGATAAATATTTCATTTGAGGTCTTGAATCCCAGTGAGCTGTAATATCTTCAGTCAGGCTTCCTTGTTTGGCAGGTAAACGTTTTCCGCACTCGATCAGAATATGGGATGAATTAGGCAAAACAAGGAGCTTTATTTATTCCGTTTTAAATAAAACTAATTTTACATGTAATATGTTTCACTACTTCCTTCCTATTTTAACAGCAAAACGAGATTGCCTCGGTGCAGGAAATTCGGTTGCCGAAAACATCGATATTTTTTTTTTTTCACTAAGGTTAAAAACGGTTACTACTTCTCGACTATTTAAACTCTCTCGGTCGGTAATAAAATGAAAGAAATAAATCATCTTTGTTTAACGAGGGCCGCTGGACACATGTAAGCAGTCTTGTGACTGACAAACTTATGGCCCTCGGACTCCAGATTGAATTATAATTTAGAAATGTTGGGTTTTTATGGACTGAGAAAAACCCAAGCGCTCCGAGATAAAAACCCTCAGAGCAGGGGTGAGGCATTCCAGTCAACCACCACTCAGACCTATGTCTCAGTGAAATTCACAAGTGAAGACCAAAACCTTAGCCTACAAAGCTGCATATCTGTGTTATAAGAATAATGAGAGATTATTAATTAGCAGGGAAAACAAGGTATGATCCTCTCGTGGTAAAAACGGCATTTATTCGCAGCACACTGCGTGTAAAGTTTTCTCGCCTCGACGACTGAGAAGGAACTAACTGAAATGCTATAACTGCGTCCGGCTGTTTGGTCCAGTTTACTTAGCTTTTGGGCATGCTGCGGAGCCAGTTTATAATAATGTTCTTCGAAATAAGTCAAAACATCTCAGTCTGAAATTCAAAGTCAGTCATGGTGTATTGCATATTAAGACCACCGTCTTACATGGCGGAGCCGTTCTTCTTTTAACACTACAGGTCCGAAGACATTCTTATCTAGATAAATATTTAAATTTGTAAACTTCTCCACGATATAGCCATTAGATAGGAAATCATTAAGACATCTAGTATCTAAGCTGGGTTAGAAAGGAATATAAATCACGATAATTACCTCGAATTAACACTTCGAGTTATAAACGCCATGCATGTTTGATCAAAGTTGTCGTTTCCCGAGCGTTTACAAGTGCTAGCAAGTCAGTGCAATGACGGTTATATTTAATTCTTGCTAGTATTTCCTTATCGAGGCTAAGGTCGAACAGCTAAGCAATGGACACTTTTACGTCTTAAAAAAATAGACAAGTCCATTCGGATCGTTTGCAGAGTCCCAGTTTACAAGCGAACTCTTAGCGAAGTGAACCTTTTGCACACCAGGTTTCTAACGAACTTTATACTAAAGCATTTTGAAAACTTCAGCCACGGTTAGGCAAGCCCCATTAACACCCAGAGCCGCCAGTTGTCCTTGGTTCAGCAGACGACAACACGGAATTTTCCTTCAAATTAAACACAATTACGTTTGCCCATATCGACCGTACAGCATTTGGTCGGCCGACAAATGGAGTCTAGTTGTCAAAGTCAGAAAGGACAAAAATAAAGGGTGAAACAATAACAATTGTAGACCTATGCTCACTGACATGTACGAAAACAGGGACTGGATGTAAAGCTTACTTTCATCTTGGGTTAGTCATGTTTATATTACTGCTAACAGCTGGGCTTAGTCTCCGATGATATCCATCATGAAAATTCAATGAATAAGTGTTCAAGTGATGATTCCGCATGGGAAAATCCTTTGATCGAATCTAAGGTCCTATACAGGGCTTTAGGCATCGAAGGATACAACCTTGTGGTGAATAATGGCATAGTTGTGGTTACTTATGGAAAGGAAGACAGAAAACATGCAACGATATCTCGCAGTTGTTTTGCATCAAAACAGATGTTTACGGTAAGCGCGCCTCAGGGGAGACTGGTGCGACGGATCACGTGATTACGCGTATCAACAGCAACGTGTGCTTAGTTGAAATCAACTCGAAGCCAGCAAGAAATTGTCAGGAAAAACACGGTAATTTCTAATCTATTGTTGAAAATCATAGCTTAGAATTCACCAGTACGTTAGAAAAATTATTTAACTTTGTATGTGGGATATTTGTTTGCAGATTTGGAGCGTTTTTCGTCGTAAATTTGTTGTTCAAAATGTGCGTTATTTTCAACTGTCGGACTCAATGTATTCATTTCGTGACTGCCATACAACCAGCAGACCATTACATATCTCATACTTCTACGCCGAACTGGAACATTTGATTCTACAGTTTCCTCTTATCGCTTGCAAGAGTTATTCAACTAAAATGACACAATTTTTAAAATTCCGATTCTTGAACACAACTTCAGTGATGAACACAGAATTTGCTCGTGGTCACTGTCGACCTCAACTTACCTGTCTTGACAGCATAGTAGCGCTGAGAAATATGGCAAATTTTTCAGACATTAGATCTCAATTGTCTTATCGTTTGCTTTTAGATAGCGTCTTCGGTAATCATTTTTGGCTGCTATTAAATCGTTTTTGCCCTGGATAAAACCTCGGCGATCTTTTATTTTGATATGCTTTTGAAACCGAAAGAGAGGAGGTGCATGTATGTACTCGCAGCGGAATAAATTTCGGGCCTGAAAATTATGCGCTTCGTTTGAAAAGAATTTAAGTCGCACAACAATACAAGGAATTTACATCTCGCTGGAACTTAAATGGTCACCTTTAAATTGATTTCTCGAGGTTTTCGCTGGATTTCTTGTCGGTGCTTTCAGATCATACCTCCATATGGTGGTTCTATGGATGACGGCTCTTCGCGAACATATTTAAGTTCTCGGCCAACATTTAGATTCCCTGATATTGGTTACAGTGGCTACTGCCGAGTTTTCCAGCGTAATTTAAGTCTGTTTTTCGCTCGGCTCTATCTCCGTTCAGAGCTTTGTTTCTCGAATGCCTTACTGGGCACTGATTTCGCCGGCCGGTCTTCAAGTTGGCTGAAATTGAAATTTCAATGGAACATTTTGGCCGTGTCAGTCAAGTCGAAATGAAAGCATCTATTTAACGCGCTGCCAGAACAAACTGGATGCTTTCATTTCATGTACTTATATAGCTAATGAGAGTTTGATCGGTCTATATTCTTACCTACGTCGGGAGATATTATAAGGCCTCGTGTTTCGCAGGAATTAGCCCGGAGTCTATCGTAAGAAGAGCACACTTGCATTCCATAGTTTGAAGAAACGCTGGGATATCTCAACTTTCCGGCCTTTTGCTCGAAGATGACACGCTTTTGAAAGAGAATCAGGGAAACTGATGGCAAATATAAAAGATGGATTATCGTGTTCTATAACAAAAAAAGCAAAGGGCTAAACGTCTAGAAAAGGTCAGAAACGCCAGTGCTTTTGTTGCTGTTTCTCATGGAGAAAATAGTTATAGAAGAAACATCTTTTTGGATTAATACTCCAGCACATGTAATCCCGCACTCAACACGTTCATTTTAGCTGACCGGCAACGATTTCTGGAGTGCAAAACACACATTCGATAAATTAACGCACAGCCTGTGAACAAAATTTAAACAATACCACAGAAGTCAGAAATAGATCAACTATAAACCGTAAACTATTTTAACGTCCCGAGCAATGGTTTTTCAGTTGGTTTCACGGCCAGCTGTTAAATACAATGTTCACTGGCTACTACACAGTGTTTTAGTTTTCTTAAAAATATAGTCAACTTGTCTTGCAAGGCCGGCACGATTTTTCTTAGACTACTGTTGACGGATATAGCTAAAAGATAAATGTAGTTGCAAACAACATATCATATCTTGCCACATTTGTGAATTGTCCACGGGTATCGAGGAAAGTTTAACGGTTCAAAAGCTCTTGTCAACATCATTCTGTTCTTCCAAACTTTGACGCCAGTTACTGATACGTTTTCATAGTCCTGTCTTTTCAAAATACCATTCAGTTCGTCAACAGAGTGTACCTAGTGCAGGGCAGATTCTATCGATTTACTCAAGCTTTCCCACCTGAAACAGAATCACATACTATTCTGGTCACAGCCGTGCGTTTGAATTTCCAGCTGGGAATTCAAATTTACTCGTGAAGTTTTTAAATTCAGCGTTTTATGTTATGGAGCAGACATTTTCGATCCGAATTTAGCACAGTTGAAACACTGGCAGCAACTACTTGGTAAATTAATAGCCAGAAGTCTTACGCGCTTTTGAAAATGACTCCAGCGTTTTTTAAACATGAGGACTTTACAGATAGTTACAGATAGCTAGGCGAGTTTCAGCACCGAAAATTATGAACTTCAGTCCATCGAGTAGTTAGAGCCGGCATGAATTCGTTAGGGTTAATCAACGAAAGAAGAACTTTTAGAGGTGAATGTGAAATGCGCTCGAAAGTTGTAGATAAATTTTGTCAGTTGGATCCGGTTGAAAAGTGTCTTTTTGGTAGTACTTCCTTCCCTTAGTGTGACCTGTTTATTCGTTCTCTTGGACAAAAATCACTCATTCACATCCATCGATTGTGTTTCGTTCATTACGAATGCTGTTTTGTTTCAGTAAGGAATTGAAAGTCATTTGGAATACCGGAAGATGTTACGGTCGATGAAACTTCAAGACCTCAACGCTCACATCATGTGTGTTCTGTGTGGCGGATATTTGGTGGACGCTACCACAATAGTCGAGTGTTTACATTCGTGTAAGTATAACGAAATAAAATTCCGCAGCGTTGTTTAGCCCTAAACCCGGCCTAGTATAGGTTAACTTGATTTTTGAACGATTTGAAGCCCCCCGGGTTTGAATTATCTTGAGGAATGTAGCCGAAATTTCGCCATTTGTTGTCTTCAGCAATTAAAATTATCCTTGTTTCGTTTTGGTTTATTTTTAACCTTTTTGGTTTGTTGTGAGTTTTCTTTTTTTAGTAGACTATTATCCTGAGGAGTTCTCTACTAGTTTCACAGAAGTTGTATCAATGTTAACTAACACGCCATGTTATAAATTCTAAAACGCGGAAGTTCAGTATAGAGCACGGAACGCACAAGATTGAATCGTCACAGCTACGCTAATTTTAATCGAGCATTTTTTTTTTTATTACCTGGCAAAGCGATTTTCAGTCCTCTGTTTGGCTGTTCTTTGGTTAGGATTTCTAAGTACGGACCGTTAGCATGGTAACTGTCTATAATAATTCAAATCTGTACGGTAGTCGGACTAAGAGGACATCAACGAGTACACTGCCAAGACATTTATTACGAGTACATCTTCGGATACACCTCGGGAATTTTCGGAGATGTTCATCAGCTCTCGAGCCCAGGTGGGGGTGGTGGCGGGCGGGGGCGGGGGGTAGGGGGTAATCCATTATATGGGCTATATAGGTATATGCGGCCCCAAATTGTATAGCTTTGAGCTGTTTTGGCCGAAAAAGGTACAAAGATAAGAGATTATTTTTATTCCTTTTCATTAGTTTGTCGTAGCTGTATTGTGAAGTATCTTCAAACATCTTATCACTGTCCTGTTTGTGATGTTGAAGTACACAAAACTAAACCTCTGCTGCATATTAGGTGAGAGATGCTGCATGTTTCTAAAGTCAAATCACTTCCTTTTTTATCCACGAGCCAAAACTAGATCATGATTTTTCCTTCCTTTTTTTCAGACCTGACCGAACTCTTCAAGACATTGTCTTCAAACTTGTACCAGGCCTCTACCAGGGTATGCTTTGTGTTGAATTTTAGTGACGTATTTCCGGAAAAAGAAAGTTGGCAATTTTTAGTTACGTATTTCCGATATGTCGACTAAAAGTATTTGTCTCTGGTCAGAGTTAGCGGGCTGCATAAAGTTTGACAGAATACAAAGTAAAACTGAAAGAATAGAAAGACAATTTGAGAGACTGGAACAGGCTAAGTAATAAGGGCTCCAGACTAGTGGCCTTCGCGCGTGTGCCTTGTGGGTGGAACGCGCGTGGCCTCCACGAGCGAGGCATAAGTTAAGTGAACTCGTTCGGTGGCCAACTACATGAAAACGTATCCAGCAGTTTAGTTTTTGAAGTAGTATTTCAGTTCACAATTGTTGAAATACATTCGAACCTCTCGTTAGCGACAACCCAAAATGTCACTCCTCGCTTACGGGAGGTGGTCGCTTACGAGAGCTTAGACCAGATTGGGTCAAAATATTGCCTCATTAGCATATGGCACTGCGGGGAAGAGACTTCCCCTATGCGTCAATACCCATCTAAACCCAGGAAATAACTGTCATTATTCTCCAACTGCAGCGAATACCGTTCAAATAACAGTACAAAATACAGCGATATAGTACAGTTATTTCTACAGTAGAAAACCTGTTTGCCGGACAGGTCAGCGCGCGTACGCAAAACTGTCACACTCTCCCTCTTTCACTGATAAATTTATTGACTAGCGCCGGCAGGTGGATAATAAATCTCTTATTAGATGTTTTGGTGTGTAGTAGCGCTGTATATTTTTTACTCGTTG